CAGAGAATTGAGCAACCAGCCACATAAGGGTAGGTCTAGAGAAGCAAGGTATAATCAACAATTTTCTTTTAAAATGTACATGATGCAAATACTATGAATTAAGCACATTTTGAAGCACTCATGATTTGAGACAAGCTTGTCACTAACCAACTGGAAATAAAATGCAATTTTTTTCATAGACTCATAGAATGTTTTGGGTTGGAAGGGACCCCTAGAGGTCATCTAGTCCAACCCTCCTGCAGTGAGCAGGGACACTGTTAACTAGATAATGTTGCTCAGAGCCCCATCCAACCTGGTCTTTTGTTTCATTGATCTTCATGCTTCAGTCAATAAATTCATTAAAACAAATGTTAATATACCTGAGTAATTTAGCAGTGTTCCCCAGCATGATCCTTACTACCAGCTTTGCTATGATGGTTGTGTAAACAGCTCAAGTTGTACTTAGTCATTGTGTCTCAGTGGTGCAGTCTTTGATCAAGTTAAATACAACATTCAGACTAAAAGCATTGTCCTGTCAGTCATTAAATGCTCTTCTTCCTAACTCCTCATAACTCAAACTCAACGAAAATCACTCAAGTTACAGCTTCTATTTTTAAACAGGAAAAAAGTATATACAACACCGATGCTTGGATCACTCCCCTCCCAGAATTCCTCCAAGATCTATATTCTCTGATGTGAAAATTCGGAATTAGGCTTTTGGAGTATGAAGAAATTTCAGCATACTGCTTGTTATCAGTAGGTGATGTTATAGATAGCAAAGTCATCTGTTGGAAAACTGATGTTTTTGACTCTTCAGACTTAAATGATGGAAGCACTACTATGCCTTGAGGTCATGGTCATTAATCTCCCAGATCAGGGACCTCTTGGAGCATGCTGCTGCTCCTGACCAGTCTGCATTCCTAGTTTTCTTTCTGTAGAACCAAGGGCACAGGACTTCTTCCTCCAGGAGCCAGTTTTCATCTGCATGATGAGTCAGATCACAGGCAAGTTTCCCATGTAGATATGGAAACTTGGATGTGTTCTTGGGTCTAATATCGCAGACATAGTCATGTCAGACATGTAAACATCATTAATATGGAGCCTAACACAGAGTCATGACCATTTGAATCTCTCCTAATAAGTAATACCACCACACGACATTACTCCTACCCCAAAAAACTTCTGCTGGGGAAATAGAGAAGTGACACCAAGTAGGAGGTAAGGAAGCACTTCAGTCTTTCCCCATTGCTGAAGCAGAAAGGCCATGTAAGTAGGAAAGTTATAGTTCTGGGTCAAGGAATACATGAAAAAGGGTTGCAATACAACACATCCAGGTGTCAGAGTTTAGTACTGGCTATGAAGAGTAGATGGAGGGGAGGGGGGCAGGGAGGAAGATTTTTGGCACAATGCCACAGTGTCTCAGTTCAATGTTGACACCTAATGTAAAAATATTTGACATATTATTTAGAATTGCAACATCACTATGGTTTTGATTAATTTGGATACGGTCAGTTATACCTTGATTTTCGTGATAGTTTTTGCCTTGGATGCCTTGATCTCACCATGTTCATTTCCAAATAATCATCTTTGTGGTTTTTTTTTGCTGCTTATGTTTCTCTAGAACCCCTAATATTGACAGGCTAGCAGAGGAAGGAGTGACACTTACTCAGCATATAGCAGCATCCCCACTTTGTACTCCAAGCAGGGCAGCTTTCTTAACAGGACGATATCCTATCAGATCAGGTAAAATCCCATTACTTTATTTTATTTACAGTAAACTGTATGTATTTTTTCTCCCTAGCCTTTCTTGATATCTTTATCGTTACCAGGTTAGGTACTCATTTCAGTGACTAATCAAGCTCAGCGGAGCTGGTCAACATTTAAAATCTTCCATATATAAGGGAAATTTTCAGGTTTCAGAAGAGTGAACACAAAAATAAAGCTTTTTTATTGAGAAAAAGATTTTTTTTTTTTAAATACTGAAGACAAAATCTGATTGTGGTTATTTAATGTAAGGAGCAGACAAATTCCAGCTACTTCCTTCACAGTCCAAATGCTTGTGGCTCTTCACCTGCCTTCCCAGTTGCATTCAGGCTGCTCCCAGGACATTGGTGGGCAGCCTGAGTGTTGAACATCACAGAGATGCATCTAGAAAGATGTGGTGGAAGAACCCAGTGTGAGTCCTTCTGCTCAGACATTTCTGTTTCTACAAAACCTTTTGGTTTAGAGAAATTATTTTTTCAGGGGAGGGGAGTAGGACAGTTCATTAAGGTATTCCAGCAGCCCTTAAAGCTGGGAAGAGGAAAGCAAAAAATCTCCCTTCTTTCCAAGTATTTTTGTTCCATATCTACCCATACACGGTGTTAAGTATCCTATGAATACATGCATTTAATAGCTTCTTACTTTTAAAGTACCTGATCCAAAGCCCATTTGAGTCAGTAAAGATCCAGTCTGTTTATTTTAGTGTGCTGGGACTGAGTCCCTCAGTGCTTAGACATGCAACTTTAACATTCCCTTAACATCATTTTTAGCAAGGATCATTATACATTAATCAGATCACTTGTTCATTAGTGATAAAACATTCTGTCCTTGCTTCTGGGAATGAAAGCAAAGCAAGACTCTGGAGCCTACTTGATATGTTCATGCTCATTCAAATCAAGTAACAAGCTACTGCAAAAGTGCCAGCTAATATAACTTGCTAAATTTTCCATTACATTCAGCTGCAAAGGAAAATTTTATATACCTGTTACAGCTATATAGCTATTAATATTTACTATAGGTAAAGCCACAGGTCACTTTCCATTATGATTCTTGTTCTTATTTCTGAAAAATTAGTATTTGAACTGATCTTTTTCTTAACTGATCTGCTCTCAGTCATACCTAATCATTTCCATATAGATACAAAAATTGAACTTTGTCATAATTAAATTACAGAATTGCTAAATATGGACTACTTCCAAACATTGGTGAAGATCTAGTAAAGGATTATTATAGAAAATACTATACTACACAATATGGAATAAAATGTTAGAAATTTAAAACTCCTGCTAATACAGCTGAAGAAAAATATTCCAAAATGCAGTATTTGATGAGACACAGACTCAGAGAAGCTTAACAATGAAAAAAAATCGTCAAATCATGGTTCTATACTTTCATTCTGGTAACTTAAGGGAATTACACTGACTTCAATTACAAGAGATGGAAGTACATAAAAATAAATATAAATAAAATAAAGTATAGATATGTATAGATGACTAAAACTACCTAAACTGTTGATCAATAAAGCTATCTGGAGTCAAAAACTGAAATTAACATTTGAAGAGTAGGTTGAGCTCTCTTTAATAAACCAGTCTAACGAGTCTTTTTCTCATCTAACCACAAGGAATACCTGAGGGAAGATTCTGGTTGTCTACATCAGTCAAGTAACTTTGGCACTGCAGTCATCCAGTTGCATAATTCAGACTTCCTGGAGAAGGCTGCACAGATTTGCATAGATATTCTGTGTTCTGTCTGTGTATACTCAGAGCCAGCTCTCATCTGGAATCCTAGTAATCTAATTTTCATGAACCTGAGCTCTCAAGTTCCTCATCCTGAGAGCAGTTTATAAGCTCAAGTTTGTGTTCCTCAGACTCTCAGTATATAGAAATTACTGTGCCTTATTTAGATGTTGTCTTGTTAACTGATACCTGATGCTGCTTTAATGCACTCTGTGTGCATTGAATCCTGTCTTCATGCCATTGGAGCACTGGTCCTCTCCCATCAAAGCTGAATGCTCTAGCCACGCTGTTTCTAGAATCAGAGTCTCTCTTGCTCTTTTTTTTGTCTTCATGTCATTTATATGCCCAACTGTAATACTGCACTACTTCAACTCCTTTCTCTCAAATAAACTTAAAGTCATGTAGAAAACCATGTCTGAGGAAAGTGGAAGTTCTGAGAGTAGAACTTGCTTAGTCCTCAGCTCCATTCCTTCCCCATGTACAAGACAAATAAATTACACAAGCTCAGCTTCTTTCAGATATGTTATACTTTACAACATGTACAGAAGGGGCTGCAGCTGTTTATGTGATGGCTGGACCCACAGTTATAAGCAGAAATTTTTTTCTCCACTTCTCAATTTCTGGTGTCAATACAGAAAAGACCTCACTCAGCTAAATGGATGATCGTATCTGCCACTTGCAACAGTTAGCATCTGATGGTAATACATCATTTAAGTGATACCACCTAAAACAAAAAAGTGCATGCAGAAAGAATGAATGGAAGTTTTTTCATTACATTATCCAAGTCTCATTCATTGTCATTGTATTTAGGAATGGCTGCCTTCTCACGAGTTGGTGTCTTCTTATTTTCCGCCTCTTCGGGGGGACTTCCTTCTGAAGAAATAACTTCTTCCAAACTCCTGAAGCAGAGAGGTTATGCAACAGCTCTAATAGGTAAAATTGCATACATACCCAGTGTTATTTTCCATTCATTTCAATCAAAAGAACATTAGCTTTCCATATAGGCTATTAGAGGTCTGCATTAAGCTTTTTACCCCCACAGCATAATGAGTTTATATTTTCTGGCACAAAGCTGAGCACATTCCCATGCATATGTGAAACACTAATCAGGTAAGTATGTCTAATTCATTTTTGTAGTTACAGTCTCATTGTGCAAGGTACTGAAGAAACATGATGAACAAATTGAAAATTAGTCAAGCTCTTGAAAAGTTTTCAGTATAAATAGGAGTTTGATTACAACAGAGAGACAATGAGGGATCGATTGCAGGGTACAAGTCAGCATAGTGGGGTGGGATTCATTTCACCAGTTTGCAAATATCCATGAAGTAGATAATGTAGTACCAGGATTACCATCTGGATTCTCTTTTTAGTCATCAGACAGACAGGGGCATTTCTAGGAAATTTGTCTCATCCTGTGGTAGATGTTTAATACAAAAATGTGTTTGTCATTATAAAGACAGTTCAGACAACTAACTGCAGCATAAATACCCTGTGATGGGTAAAAGAAAACCCACCAGGTGAATGTTAAAAAGGTATAGCATTTAAATAATGTGATTTTTTTTTTTTTTTCCTAATTTGGCCACTGACTTACTCCACGCTGCTTACATTTTAGAAGATTTTTGTGAATTACAACCTGTATTGCATAATGTACTTTTCTGTACTGGAATTGCCAGGAGGTAGTTGTTTAGAGAACATCATACTGGAACATTACTACATTCTTTTAGAAGCTGGATGCACCCGATTTGATTTTTAAATCTAACAAAAGCTTGCAATTTTGGGAGTAATTTTTGTTTAAAAATCATGCTGTTTAGCAAGGCTAATATTTCACACCACTGTTCAAAAAATATCCCTATTATATAGGTAACTACTGTTGATGTTCCTAACTAAAAAAATCCTGCTTAGCTATAACCCAGTCTTAGAAAGTGTAAACCCCCTTATGTTCTGACAGATTCAGAACAGAAAACAAGAAGATCTTAACAAAAGTATATTTAATGCAGGTGTATTTGAACCATAGTGCAAAAAGGCCATTCATAATTAATCACATTCGTCATCGAGTTAATTCCTATTGCTCCATATTCAGTTAAAGACTGCAAAAAAGTAATTTTTCTGTTTGTACCAAGCACTGTAATACAACTCATTTTCTGGGACTGACCTAGTTAATGTTCTTTTTTTAACTACTTTCAATGCAACATGACAGCTTGCCACTTAGATCTCCAGACGTTATCTCCATGATGCTTAATGAACAATTCTTCCAAGTGGCCTGAATGATAGCTATGAAACCATAAGATGTACTATTACCATATCCTTAGTGTATAATGAAGGCTTCCAAAAATCAAGAAGTGCATTAAAATTAAGGATAAAGTATATGTAAATGACAAAAAGAAAAATTATGTAGATTTGAAGACTAGATAGACAGACTCTCATTCCCAACCAGCCTATTTGCTGCCTCTGCTGGTATTCTTATCACATCATATTGGTCTAGGTCAGGGAGTCTTTGCTTGGTTCAGTCTAACTCAGCAGTTCCCAAACAATTAATTGTCAAATCCTGCACAAGTGATGGATTGGCATAAGGGTAATTTGAAGCCTTTCAGTCCTCAAGCCTCTACTGTCACTTCTTTTTTTGCCAAGTTTCTCTCCCCTTTACTCTCTAAGGACATTTTTTTCTCTCCTAAATGTGTTTTCCTTTCTTTTTAGATTTTTTTTTTTCCTCCTCTGAATATATGCTTCCTCTTGCTTGATACGTCCCTAAATATATTTTAGCTATAAATCTATTTTATGTATACACTTTTTTACTGCACTGTTTTTCCCCTGTGACACAAAGAAGGTGACATCCAACAGATCTGGCAGGAAGAGACACAGTCAGAAGATCTGCAACAAAACTAGGTTTTCTCAAAAAAGACAGATGTATTGAATATGTAATATTTCACCAGTTAAACATCCTGGAGAGTAGCAAGAAATGTTGATGTTTTGTAGGAAATAGCTATTCATAATGCAAAAGTTCCACTGAAAGTAGATAGGTATTATTTTAACTACTGCTGTGCTCTGTTATCCTGTGTGTTGTCTAGCATCCAGAGAAGTTTAAAATCCATCTGTGTAGCTTATCTCCAAAGTTTAAAGTACTAATGAATAAACTGGGACTTGAATCTTTCTTCCAGAACAAGTTCTTATAATATTTGGACACATCATCACAGTAGTGAGAAATACAAGGTTGGTTGAGTCTATGAAGCAGGATTAATAGAACAGTTATTAATAGAAGAGCTTAAAATCTGTTCATATTAACAATATAGGCATACATACTTATATTATTGTTGCTGTGTGTGTCTTATAAATATATTTCTTTGAGCACACAAAATATTTGTTTGCATCTTGCTCTACATCTTACATCTTACCATTTATCTGAAGAGCACAAAACCATACCAAAAGAAATACATCAGTATACACAACTCATTTTTCAGATTGCTCCCTTTTCAACTGTCTGAAAAAGAGGGAAAAATGTGGATTTTTGCAGCCTTTCCAGCATTCTGGGTTCTGAAAAACAGAGTTCCAAATGAAGTTTCTTGTATGAATAGGACTTGGCTCTCACTTCCAATGCCTTTCATTGCATTGCTTTTGCTCTGCAGAAATCTTAATTGTGGCAGGAAAAAAGCCTAGGTCTCAACCTATTAAGGTACTCATAATTTACAGTTAACAGCATGAATTTCACTCAAAAGCTTGGTAAAGACTGCTAATGTGTATGATGCTTGTGTGAAGTGCCCATACTATGAAGCTTCACTTGGCAAAGAGCATTTTGCACTGCTCTCAGATTCAGAAGGGCTCCAGAATGTAAAGCACATTACAGTAGTCTGTTGAAATGCTAGCTCAAGGCAGGGGTTATTGTCACAAGGAATGAAACAAAATGTATATTGTGGACCCAGTCATCACTTGCTTTTTCAGAGTAGCACAGGACCTATCAAACCCCTCTACCTCATCAGCCATTTGAGAATGGCAATTGTGTCTTTCCATTCTTCTGTTGATTTTCCCAGTTAACCCGCTCTCTGCTTTGTTTGCCTTAAGTTGTTTCTGAACAGATCTTTTTTTGAGGCCCAAGTTCATCTTGACATTGAGAAATTTGTTGTGCTTGCTAAAACCCTTTTGATAAAAATAGGTCCTATATTTTCCCCTGACCTGATTTGTTGTTGCAAGTCTTCTGTCCTGGCTTGCAATGTCTGTTTTTACTGAGATCCAGTTTAAACAAACTCTTTATATCATAATAAATGACCTTAAAAGTATATTTAATTTGTTCGGGTTTCCTTTTCATATTTTTTTACTGAATTATAGGTGCTTTGAGATTGACAAATAACAGTAAAGAATCAAAAATTAAAGCTTTAAGATTTATATTCATTATTATAAGCCTCTACCTTTATTTCAGTTATCTAAATTGATGAGAGTTGTTTCATGCTGACCTACACATCTGGCTTGATGATTATTCCATAAAGACAGTCATGTAAATCTAAGAGAAAACGCCAAAGCATTTCTTTTCCAAAATACGTGTCTTTGCTTGCTGGGAATGAAATTCAGAGTTGCAGTCTTAGCTAGCCCTTTATGGCACCATTATGACATCTAAAAATTCAGTATAGTGGTCTGCATTGCTATTTTGTAATTGGCCACAATAATATTCACTGGACCACGTCAAAAGTAGTGAGTAGAGCCATCCTGCCCATGGAAAACAGAATACCACCTCCACGTGAGGGAGGCCATCTGACAATAAGTGGGAAAACTTCTGATGGGATGTGTAGAGGTCTCCATTCCACTGGAACATAAGCAGACCTGAAAATGCTTTTATGCCTGCTTCTATGATATACAGAAGGTATTTCTAACCTAAGACCATCAAGAGATATATGAGAACTGGACTCTCAACTCAGGCTCAACTCTTCAATCAGGCTCAAGATTTCCGTGGTACTTTTCTCTACCTTTGCTGGCAGGTGAACTTAGACACATGACATTCCCATCCCATGCCTTAGTTCTGTCATTTGTGAAAGAGAAATAATGACATCAAGCCCATTTGCTAGCTACTATTTCAAAAAATCAGAACTGACCCCCATCTTCACCCTCTTTGGTGTTGCAGTTACCTGCATTTGTCATTGCAAAAGGCAGAAGTGCAGGATGACCCAGGAGATGCTCAGGACTGCCTGCATGGGAACTCTTTCTTACAGATGTGTAAAATCTGTGATGGTTCAGGAAAGGGGAAAATTCTATATATGCTTTATTCCTTTCATGTACTTTCTACCATATGTATCCTGAAGTCTCTAGAACAAAATATTTCAATTTGCTTTGGGCTAGGTTATGGGGTTGAGGACTTACTGGGTTTGCGGTTTTGGGGTTTTTTTTTATTCCTTTTAAGATCACAACCCCTGAATTATGCTGGTCATGTTTAGGTATTTGATTCAGAAAAAATAAATAAAATTTGGCCCAGCAGTATATATTATCATCTCTTTTTTCAAGGGTGACACGTTTTGTCCAATATTCAAGACATTTCCTTGCTGAGACCAAAGAGCATAGCTCTAGCCATAATTTATGTCAATAGGCTTAACTGAATTTAGATTTTTTTAAGTTATGCATTTGAATTTAAATAACAGCTACCAGTTAGATCTGTTGCACTAAGTGATACGTAAGCATATGGTAAGGGGTTGTGCCTGAGTCACAGAATGAATTGTCCAAATACTTACTGTAATCAGCATGAACATTGGTTATGCTACTATAATGCAAACCAGGCTCATTGTTTTCTTGCATCTGTTGGTGCACAGTGTTATTGCAGAATTAGAATGATTTCCTAGTGAGACAAAATGCAGTGAGAGATAGTATTTGGTAGTAATTTACTTGTTACTGTTGTTTCTTTTGTAATTTATATATGTATAATACATAAATAAATAAAAAATAATCTCCTATACTATATATAAGCATATGCTGAGGGAGATTGGCAATTTCAGAGATTTTGCAATCATTTAAATAACTGACGTCTTGATTTATTTCCTGGTTGTTTTTTCTTTTTTTCTTTTTTTCTTTTTTTTTTTTTTATGCTAATCAAATATGAATGATTTGCCAGAAAAATTTCAGAAAGGATATTTTGTAACTCCATATTGGCTCTTCCTAAGAAAGCAGTAGCTGCAACAAAATGGTATTTTCTTATGACTACTTAACTACACATGCACAAAGGCTTCATTTTCAAAGTTAGCTATCTGTTAGGGCTCTGTTGTTCTTCAGTGACCTGCTAGCCCACTCAGAATCTAATGGTCTCCATCAGGAGCTGTGCCAAACGATTTCTAACTAAAATGAAGAGTCAGACATGAAAAAAAGTGTTTGATGAAGGCATAAAGAAAGATTAGATACAAAGTAGGGCTCCACACAATAAATCCTGGGGGTGGGGGATATCAGTCAGATAGTGACAGTTTGGAATAGCACACTTTATAAGTTTGATGATTTAACTACAAAAATACTCCCTGTCCTTCTCTTTCTGTAGGAAAATGGCATCTTGGGATGAACTGTGAAAGCAGTAATGACTTCTGTCACCACCCCCTCAGTCATGGATTTGATTACTTTTATGGGCTTACCGTGACCAATTTTAGAGACTGCAAACCTGGCCAAGGCAGCGTATTTTTAAAAGGGGTTCAGAAATCCCTTGTCATCCCAATCCAAATCGCTGGAATCACCCTGGTTTCTTTGGCAATAGTGCAGTACATTGGCATCCTCAAAGTACCTTTCCAAGCACTGGCTTACTGCTTGTTTATAACCACTATTTCACTTGCGGTTTTGGTCTTTTTCTTTTACCATTTTCGACACTTGAACTGCTTCTTAATGAGGGACCATCAGATTATCCAGCAACCACTATCCTATAAGAACCTTACTCAAAGACTGACAACGGAAGCCATGCAATTTATAGGAAGGTAGGTTTCTGACTGTGTTATAAGTAAATGCTAGCATTTCACAATGTACTACGAAATGTAGTACAATTTTTCTACAAAAGTAGAAAAAAAATGTGAATGGGTGGGCATGAGGAATATGTCATTAAATATTATAATATTTTTTTTCCTTTAAAAGATGACTGAAGTTAATCTTTTTAGTGAAAGCGACTGGTTTTTTTCTAGCGGGTGTGTCATAATTTTCTCTATAAAAATTTAAACCTATTTATGTTTACATGTTTCAGAAAAAAATTTCAAAAAATATCTAACTTTTTTAGGACTTTACTTCTTGAGAATTCCATGTAACTTGAAATATGAAAAATCTTTTGTTGTGTGAATTAATTTTGTGAAAGCACAATGCAGAGTCATAATCCATTATTTTTATGGAATGGAAAGTTGTTCTTCATCATTGATTTGATGCATCCACTAAATGGCAATCATAAGGCAAATTTTTTTAAGATACTGTCACTTTAGATGCCTCCACTTTTATGCCAGATTAATTTTTGAAAGGATTTGATTTATAAAAGTTAGGAAATAAATGTTTTTTTGAATGCAATGATTTTCTGAGAGCCATCACGTTGGGTCATCTAAGTGTTGGATGTACAAAATCATCCTAAGTCATTCTTCATTTTTGCAAAGTTAGCTACTTTGGCGGAATTGTCCCTACGGGGCTTTTAATGGGAATATATCATAAAAGTAAACATTTTTATGTTCTGAAATGTACATAAATACATTTGGAGAAAAAAAATTTCATCCATTTAACTTCTTGAAAAATATGCCAAAGTATTTTTCTCACTCACTTTTCAAACAGGTTGCACCATTTCTAAAAATAGTTAATCAAAAGTAAAAACATGTTCTAAGACATAACAAGTCCCTTAATTACCATTCTGAAAAGTGTGTACCAGGTAGTTACTGTGAATACATTCACATGCTGTCGTTGCTGTATGAAAACTTATACCAAAGAATCAGAGGCTAAATTTTCTAGACTTAATGACTGCGGCAGTAGTCATCAAGACTGTTAGCAAGAAAAAATACTTACTTAAAATCTTGATCTCATACTGCAATTTTTCTATCATTTCTGTCATTATAAATACTTGATGTAGCCATCTCTATTCATCATATCAAAATAAAATGGGTTTTCTATCAAATTTCTTTAAGTGAGTAAGTCTTCCCAACAATCGACATTCCCATGAGTATTTATAAATAAACTAAACCATCTTTATTTCCACTTGGCAGTGGTGATAGGTATAAAGATACCTTCTCATCTACATTTTAACTAATTTAAAAGTGAAGTATTTTGTTTACTATGCACACACCCCTTTGAAAATTGTAGAGAAGTTATTTGCTTAGTGGCCAAGCATTTAGTGATTTTAAGACTCTTGAGTGCATTAACTATATGTTGGCAGATTCTTCCGTGATTTACAGGTATGTAATGTGCCTATAGTGGTTCTTAATGTTTTGGATATCTCTGAATGTTCCATTGATTTCAATGCAATGACAATAAAATGGTACCCCCAAAACAAGTAAGTTCAAGGTTGGAAATCAATGCTAGAAAACTAGTAAGTCTTTTAACTTTATTAATATTCATAATGTGCGCAGTGTTATTATACAGCTTAGGCAGTGTTTAGAGCTGGCAAAACAACGTATCATCTAAGTCAGCATAGCTTTGTTGACTCAGCTGGAGGTAAGTGGCTTTACATCAGCTAGGCACTTGGCTCCAGTTCTCAATATAGTTTCCAGACAAAAGTGTTGTTAAATTGAAGTCAAGATTAATAGCACATATTCGTAATATACAATAAACTTTGTTACAGGAATGTTGCAATTACAGTAAGAATTATAACCCAGACAATTCAGAGTCAATGTTAAATTAAAGAATATTCAAGCACATTAAGGTCTTGAGAAGCAATTAGTGCATTCGAGCAATCTTAACTGTGCCCTGTAGTGAATTCACATGCAAAGTATATGACCATAAAACTTCCTTCTCAGGATAGGAGTAATTAGATTAATGTTCACTGATCTGTCAAAAATCAATATTTGCTTTGACACACTGCTTCTGACATTATATAGTTCATACCTGTCAACTCCAGTGCACCAGTAGACCATTGCTTTTATGACTAAGGTACTGACTTTGGCCATTTGTAGGGGAATGGCCATCAAAAGGCAACCAGGTTGCAGCAGCAGTCAGACATCTGGCACTCATAAGTGAAGGACCACCAGGTTTTTGGAAAGTCCATAGTGTTCCTTGTGGTTCCACTTCTTTCAGCAAGCAGTCTCCCTCAGCCCTCCTTTAGCCACACCTTTGACGCAACACTTGATTTGTCATACAGGCTACTTTTGTTTAAATAATACAATAAGTAGCAAACTCAGTCGTATACACCAGTAATCTCTACACACAAGTATACCAGAGTTCAAACTCCTGAATTTGAGGAATTCAGTCATTTGCCTTTACTGGTTCCTAATACATTTTATCACCAAACTAAAAATCATTAGCTATCATGCATGTTTTAATTGGTTAATTATCTTTACAATCAATATATGATCCAATCTTCAACAGCACTGGTATTTCCTATATAGCCCTTTAGTGCTACATTTATATAAAATATATATGAATGTATGTATAGTTATATATATAAAACAATTACAACATAAATGTTTTATCTATGTAAGTTTATTATACCTATTACCTATATTACGTTTATAAGTTCTCCACAGTTCAGCCAATGGACTTCTTAACATTATTGTCTTCCTACAGTATATATAATCATTAGATTTTGTATTTTTCAACTGTTCTTATAATTTCTTCATAGCATATAGCTATGTGCTGTAATACTTCCTTTGGTCTGGTTTTTGGAGGGATGATATCGTATTTGTTTTTCCTTAGTCTAGGATATGTGTATTACTGTTTTCATTTGTTTGTAGGTAGATTGAAAGAGAACAAATACAATATTCAGTGCTCAGAAATGGTACTGGAGAAGAATATATGCAGTATACAGTTACAAGTGTCAGATCCAGTGCATGAAAACACACACGAGTTTAGTTGCTTACCCTAATTGTAAGTGGGCAGGTCAGCTCAGTGTACGTTAATTCTAATTGCTTTTTCCCAAGAGTAAGTACGTGTCCATATTGTAAACCTATCAAAACAGTCTCTGGGCATTACAGTATATTTGAAAATCAAACGGATGCTAATTATTTCATGTTAAGTTCAAAGTGGTTGTCACTCATGTCATCAGCATGTCTGTTAATGATCAGCTGCACAGACAGTCCAAATTTGGAAAATGCCAGCGACCTGTTTTTAATGTATCAGACATTAACAAGACAAAAGTGCCACTCTTATACAGAATACCTCTCTGACAATGTTGGATAGCTGATCACAATTAATAATATTTAAAAAATCCTAATGAAATAATAAGTTCTGGAAAACAATATTTGCATACGAATATTTTTATATTCAAAAGCTATGATGAAGATGATGTTGAACAGTTTTCATGCAATTTACTTTTTCAGTCATCGATTGCATAGCCATAATATTCAAAATTTTGTGATATCAGTTAATACATTTTTTATTTTCTTTGTAGCTATTCTATTTCAGTCCTTGAAACACTATTAAAACACATATTCAAATTTATTTTCATCTAATCTAGCAGGCTGTGGTTTAGAGGTTTTCCGTATATCATGAGGTCTTAAGATCAGGCAGTTGTCATGTTGTACTGGAGTTCTGAAATCAAGTGTTTTTATGAATCCTACGAAATCCCCTATAGTTTATAGCAAAACACAAATTATAGAGATGAGTTTGTGTATTTTTGTATGCACATGATATATATGTGCAAGTATTTTAAAAAAGGGCAATAAATTATAAGCTATAACAACTCTACTGGATCTACATCCCTTTTTCTCAGCCCTCTGCTTGTTCCTTTTGAAGAGAAGAGCTAAAATATTTATTCATATACTTTAAGGCCATATGAAAATGGAAGATATTAGTCATTTAAGAATGATTAAGGACCTAAGTAGTTCTGCAATGAGTGTCAGACTGCATTTTTAATGGAACACTCCTAAAAAGCAGTGTATCTGTATTCTGGGCACCAAAGTTTTGCAAGGGAGAGGGTTTTAGTAATGAGTATAATTTGTATTAGGTGAGAAATTTCATTTTTTTCCCCATGCTTATGAGAATGTACTTTCTGAAGGGGAGAAAAAGGTTATATACAAAGTAAATAAAAACATATATCAATTGTGTATCTCAAGAATTTAAAGGATAAAATAGGCATGAAATTAGAGATGTCAAAAGTATCTTAGCTATTTGCATGGAAGAATCATTTCACAAATGATATAGTAGTAGCACATCCTATTTTTAATACCTTCTAGAAAGTCAGATTTTTCATATTTTTACATTTTTTTCCTTTTCTCATTCCTTTTTCAACACCTTTTTTAGTTTTGGTAAGTTACTCCCAAGTGGTCTAGAGTTCTCTTTCTGATTTTGAAAAATTTGGAAAATACGAGATCTGTGTTTTAAGGTGTTCCTTTTAAAAGAGTAGGACAGAAATATTCATTCATGAATTCATTCATGCTTGCAAGGATTCTAGCACTTTCAGCTGTCAGAACAAAACAAAATCCAGCTCGTAGGACAAAGTCCTGCCTTGATACAGTTAGGCCAAGGTTTACCTTTCTCTTCTGCGGGAACAAGGCTTAATGAAGTGCATTCAGCCAGTCCAGTCACAAAAGAGCACTGTCTAATTGGTGATCTAATCTGGAAGTAGAGGAGGGAGTCATGGGGAATAAGCATTGAATGGACTTATCCATTGGGGAGGTATTGAATAAGAAGAATGTTTTTAGTAAAAAGAGAGTTACAGGAAAAGAAAATTTAGGCTTGCATCTGCCTGTATCGACGCACTATTACATATTTGTGCTGAAAACGTATCTTCAGATTATATACCGCAACATTTTTGTTTTCTTTCATCTTAGCTGTGACTCTGATGTACTGTGACTATGTGAAAATGACCTATTGTCATGGTTTAACCCCAGCAGGCAAGTAAAGCACCACACAGCCATGCACTGCCCCCCCCCAGGTGGATGGAGGAGAGAATCGGAAGGGTAAAAGTGAGAAAACTCATGGGTTGAGATAAAGGCAGTTTAATAGGTAAAGCAAAAGCCGCACATGCAAGCAAAGCAGAAAAAGGAATTCATTCACTCCTTCCCACTGGCAAGCAGGTGTTCAGCCATCTTTGGGAAAGCAGGGCTTTATCACACGTAATGGTGACTTGGGAAGACAAACACCATCACTCCGAATGTCCCCGCCCCTTCCTTCTTCTTCCCCCAGCTTTATATGCTGAGCATGATGTCGTATGGTCTGCAATAGCTCTTTGGTCAGTTGGGGTCAGCTGTCCCATCCGTGCCCCCTCCCAGTTTCTTGTGCACCCCCAGCCTCCTTGCTGGTGGGGTGGGGTGAGGAGCAGAAAAGGCCTTGACTCTGTGTAGCCCTGCTCAGCAGTAACGAAAACATCCCTGGGTTATCAATGCTGTTTTCAGCACAGATCCAAAACAGAGCCCCATGCTAGCTACTGTGAAGAAAATTAACTCTATCCCAGCCAAAACCAGCACACATATTTTCATTCAATAAGTCATATGTACTTATAAGAGGTAAGTACAGGCTACCCCTATATCTATTTCAAATAGTTCTTTGCAGGTTATTTCAGTCTTATGGGTGAATTAGCTGTAATTTATAAGACTTTGGGGATTACAGACACTATTGTTAACCCAATTTTAACACAGCACAGTGTTTACCCCAATCAGGCAAAGCCAAGTATATTGGCTTTCATAATCAGCTGATGTGAATCATAGTACCTCCACTGGTATAGAGGGTGTAGTGGTCTCACGGGTTAAAAGTTTTTACTTTATGACAGAATGTGAGGATAATTTCACATCTAGTGAAAAAAAAAAAGTTGTTCAGAAGGATCATACTGTCCATCATATTAAAGGTTAATTTAGAATGTATTGTGAAAAAGTAAAAGTAAAACGGAGCCCTGTCATGTTCCCATCTCATTTCCAGTACAGAATCGTACCTGAAACCCTAGTTTGATTTGAAAACTGCAAGCCAACAAATTCAGAGCCTCACCCAGTGCTCTCCTGCAGTGGTCTTAGATTAAGAACAATGCACAGAAAAGCAAACAAAAGTACCCAAGGAGTTTTCAATGCAGCAAGTTAGAGCAAAGTTGCAAGAAAAACTGTAACTTGCTCTCTCACCCACTTTAAAGTTGTGCTTTACAGCTTAAGCCTGAACTGAATCCTTGAGTAATGTAGAGACTCCTCACACTAAAAAATAAGAATCTAGTACTATGCAGTATAGAGGAGTCACCAACAACATGATGCTTTTAGATGTTTTCATGGTCAGTTAAGCACACATTAAAGGATGTTTTATGTCAGATATGTGTAATCTCTCTGGTAAATTGAAAAGACTCTATGATTCTTGTTAGGATAAAATTTTTTACAATATTTGAATAAGTGAATCTCAGATCTTTTGAGACTGAAGTTCCCTGTGTTTGAACATCTTGTGGTTTAACCCAGCAGGTAGCTAAACACCAGACAACCTTTCTCTCACTCCCCCCACGGTGGGATGGGGGAGAGAATCGGAAAAAAGGTAAAACTTGTGTGTTGAGATAAAAACAATTTAATAGGGCAGAAAAGGAAGGGAAATTAATAATAATAATGGTAAAAGAATATACAGAACAAGTGATGCACAATGCAATTGCTCACCACCCACTGACGGATGCCCAGCCAGTTCCTGAGCAGCAGCTGCACCCCCTTGGCCATCTCTCTCCAGAGTTTTTGTTCAGCATGACATCATATGGTATGGAATATCCTTTTGGCCAGTTTGGGTCAGCTGTCCTGGTTGTGCCCCCTCCCAGCTTCCTGTGAACCCCCAGCCTCCTTGCTGACAGTGCAGTCTGAGAAGCTGAAAACTCCTTGACTTAGTGTAAACACTGCTCAGCAACCACTAAAACATCAGTGTGGTATGAACGTTATTCTCATCCTAAATCCAAAACACGGCACTATATCAGCTATTGGGAAGGAAATAAATTCTATTGCAGCTGAAACCAGGACTGGACTGTGTAAAAGACAGTGGCAATACATTTCTGAAGGAGCTGTTTACTGAAATGGTTCAGAAGTTAAGTTGTTATTGTGAAATTTCTCTCCCGCCTACTAGCTGATATTGTCATTCCATTTTCAAGGTCATGGTAAAGGTAGTCAGTTATGATTCTTCTCAAAGAGTTTTGGCAGGAGATAAATAGCTGCCCGTGATCTTTTATAGGATATTAATAGGTGAGACACTTCTACACCTGACAGTGAGCTGTCAATCAGAACCTGTCAATTTGAGTTGCAAAGAAGAGAATGATGTAGTGCCCTTCCATATCAATCATTGATTCAATGACTCTTCATGAAAGTTAGATCTTTGTGTCAGTTTAATTTAAAAAAAAAAAAAAAAAAGCAGACCTGAGTTGTTAACTCTTGAAAATAACACTTAAAGTGGAGGCTTTTGATACTCACTTTTAGCAATATAAAGGCAGACTTAGAAGTATGCACTATCTCTGTGACATTGGAACAAGGCAGTTTGCATGAGAAGTAAATTGTGCCTGCACCATTATAAGTATAAAGTAGATTTTTGTGGTATTTTACCCTAGAATTTGTAGATTACTCTCAATTCACTGAACTGTGTTTAAGGAAAAAGTCAAAGATAATCCAATGCAGTAAAAAACGAAGGTTGTAAAACAAAAATCAGCTGCCTTGAAGAAATGTTCTTTAAAAAAAGGTCAGTGTTACATTAATATACATATGAAATATTAAAAGTATACATCTTTTTTTACTTGAAGTGCCGACATTTTCAGCCTTTTTAATTGACTCAGAAGTCTAGTGTTATTTGTTGCTACAGCAATGGAAGGTACTCATGTACATGATCTCTCAAATAGAAACAAACACAACTTCATGGAAAATGTATCTTTTATGAAAAACATTGTCTTTATTTTTTAAAATCTGTACTTTATAATACTAAGATAATACAGGGTACATGCACAAATATTTGAAGGAAATTAAAATAATTTTGTTTCCATTTTCTACATGAAAAATAGTCTATTTAATCTGTAATTTTTTTTAAAAAAAGGATAAACCTTTTATGAAAAAAAAGTCCCAGTCAGAAACACACTTATCAAGTGAGTGTTTATGTACTGCTGCCTCTGCCAGTGAAAAAGAAAACTTTAACCATGAAACTTGCGCAAAACCAGATCCAACACAGGAGAGAGGAAAAATGGATCATAAATATACTAAATGAAACCTAGTTATTTTTCCTTAAGAGTAAAGTATTGATATCATATGAATCCTTTCTATTAAAAGATGACTTTTTCAGATTCTAAAGGTTAGATTTTATTTTTTTTTCATTCTAAAGAAACATTTTGTATGTGCATGTTTGTGTTGTTCCTTCCCCCTTTAAATCAGCTGCATGAGGAAATATATAGTCTCCCTTGAATGTTGATGTGAATCACAGGTATGATCCACCATAGACTGGCAAAGGGAAAATATGGTAAATAAAGCCCAAAATACTATGTAATTATCTGTGTGCTTTAAGGTGAGATACAGGCAAGTTTTCTGGATAGTGGTTTTGTGATTCAACTGATATTTACAATATGCGAAATGTACTACAAATGCTGTTGGAGCATATAGCAGTAAATTTGGCTAGTACTGCACAATTTTAAGTAAAGTTCTATAAATAATGCATAAGAAAAAGTTCTTACTTGAGCTGTGCTTTCACAGCCTGCTGGAACTGATCATATATATCGTGTTGACAGATCACATGAACAGCAAAATTTACAGAGTCTATTTATTGCACTTTTTCTTTTGTATCAGTTCAGGAAGTAGACTGAAGACAATGGAGACTGTTCATTAATGTGAGGGGAAAAATACTTCTTTATATTACTATGTGCTTTGAGATTGCCTATTCTGTGGTACAACATACTTGTAGTGTTACGTACTGATCACATGCATACACACACAGTGCATTAAATGACAAGAGAAGATTTGCCCATATACCTTAGTCCAGGATAAAGAAGGAGTACTATATAGTACTACTATAATACTACTGCAGTACTTCTATATTTGACATAGTCAATGATTTCATGGTATGTATGTTTGACCCTGGTCCTCATAATGTCTAGTTGATCAGCTTCCATATGACCTTGTGAGGAAGGTAATTGTGTTTCATGTACACATGCAGTTCCGAAGGTATGGTTTTGAACAGCAATTTTATTCGGGCTTTTAAATATGTACTTGAAAAATGAAGAGAAGTGCTTGTAGCCAGAAATCTCTAGGTTCCTGGCTTTAAACAAGTTCTCTTTCAATATAAATAACAAAAAGTAATTAGTGAGATTTCGTTGTTTATTTTTGCTTTCAATCCAGTATACAGATAAGAATAACATTTTTACCCTGTGTGTGTGTGTGATCAGGATTACCCTGTAATCAGCTACAGTATTCCTCTTCCTCTTCTTGTTTTGGGTTTGGGGTTTTTTTTGAGCTCTACTGTAGAAAGATTTCTTTGTAGAAATTTTGTTATAAAATATACTAAGGGTTCGGGGGTTTTGTTTTGTTTTGTTTTGTTTTTTTCCAGGAACACTGATGCACCATTTCTTCTTGTCCTGTCTTATCTTCATGTCCATACTGCTCTATATGCTTCAAAAAAATTCAGAGGAAAGAGCAAGCATGGTTTATATGGAGATGCAGTGGAGGAAATGGACTGGAGTGTAGGTACGTTACATCTGCTTCTAACATCAATGGAAGGAATTCATGGAAGACTTGCATTCATGTCTGCCAAATGCAGACTTCTGCAATTTGGGTGTCTACAGTGTATCTGACATACTTGTCCTTTATACTTGGGGGAAAGAAAGGCACAATAATCTGACCTCTTGTAATATCTACTTTATGACCAAATTTATTGTGTCCTATAAATGTCTGCTCTCTTCTTTGACTATGAAGGTAGTCTATACAGTATGGATTTAGTAGAGATATGGGCAGCTTAACTGTGGACATTTGAAGCAGAGTAGTTGAATCCAATCCCATGAGCTTCTGGGTGCCATCTGGCCTCTGCAGGTTGTCTTCATAAAACAATGTAATCACTTGAATCAATATCACATGATATTGATATCAAAACATTTTCAAATAAAGTGACTACCATACGCACTGTTAGCGAAAGTAATTTGCTAATTATTTTAGCAGGTTCTCTGAATTAGCGAAGTCACTCAGGTGAGGTCCACTTCTGTTCATGCAGACTAGTCTACTGTGAATAAGCTACTGAGCATTAGCTGGTCTTACTGTCTATGTCTGATTTTACTATTTCTGTTCCATGACACTTAGCTTATTCCAGTCTAATTGGTCATTTGCTGCTGCCATTACATTTTGCTGCTTCTTCAGGAGAGTGGCTCTGGGGTTCAAACAGCAAGTTGGAAACTAAGGCCACTGACGTGCTGCTGTTTCGGGCTATTTAATGATGCAGAGGTGCTAACAGGTTGAAAACCACTGCTCTCTTCCAGAATGACCACAGGCTCTTAGGAGATGTGTCAAAAACCCAAAATGTAGAAAAGAAGCATTTTATTAAAAAAGCTTGGGATAAATCAGAGGTACAAATTTAGTGGTGATAACACAGGAATTTTGAACAAACTCAGAGAGGAGATACACAAATTACCTCATGTATTGTTCTTTACAATCCATCGCAGGAGCATCAGGGGCAGCGGAGCTAGCTTAATCAGGAGACAGATCCTCATCTGTCATAAACTAGTATATAAACATCAAATTTTCTTTCAGTTGGGGGTCTGGTTACTTGGTTTCACTTATGTCTTGTAAGACTTCTCTGTTGACAGATTTTGTATTTGCTTCAGGAGGTAGAAAATGTGTTTAGTTCCTCTGTTACTTTCTCCTCCATTATTACAATGATGAAAAAAGTTATGGCTGACATTTCCAAGGGAGTCTGAAGGAACAGTATAGCTTTTCTCTTTTTTTTTTCATTTGACGAGAGTACTTATTTCCATTAACCTCCACTGAAAATTCCAGTCTTAATGCATCAGCTATGTCAGACAAAGTAGATTTATTCACTGTACTGCTGATGTCAGTAACCAGTATTTTCTTGGAATGCCTCTGAAGATGTTACAGTAGAAAAATCAAACAAAATTGTATGGAAAGGCTGAAAAGGTGAAAACTATAAGCTTTCCACAAAGGGAGGTTTTGTCATTCACTAGACAAAAATTAGTATTTATACATAGATGAATGTAGTTTGCAAAAGCAATAAGAACAGAATAGCCCAGATATAACAATGTACTGCAAAACCTTCTGATTAAAGACAGCAGAAGCACAGGAAGAAAAAATGAGTGCATGGAAAGGTGCGTTATAGTACATCATCAGAATTATTTGGCATCTGGTAGGAAAAGAAACACCAACTTCAACTCAATTCTGAAAGAAACTTACAATGTGTTATCTGCTGGGTGGGAAATATTGTGGAAAACTCTGGTGGATGACTAAAAAAAAAAAAGAGTAGAAGAGAAGTTAGAAGTAGAACTTCAGACTGCCAAGTACCTATGAAGAAAAAGCTGTATCAAGACTGGACCATGAAATGCAAATGTAACATTGTTCCTGATTTGAGAGATCAGCTGGAATCAGAAAGAAGACTTTAGCTGCCATTTGCACGAGAAAAAGCAACAGCCTTTCTAGTAAGACAGAAAAGTCCACTCAGACTGAGAATTCTAAATAGGAGACAGTTCTCCATTTTCATTTGTTTATTTATTGAGAATCAATTACCTAATTGGGCAATAATTCAATTATAAGGCAATCTCCATCCAAGGAGGAGAAAAACCTATAAGACACATGAATAAAATACTCATTTGAGTATTTCATGTTTGTGACTTGTTAAACCAATACTGAAGAGTATGATTACAGTCCATGTCAAAAATACAAAATACAAAGTCTCTGGATAAGCTTTTGGGACCATGTATGTCTACTGCTTTTGCATACTGATGCGTGTATAACAGAATTCACTGTTTAAAGCATTAACAGTTATAATGTCACCGCATGTGACATGCCCTAGAGAGTTATTCTCTGGCTAATAACATTAATTTTCTTTCAATGTAGGCTAAGCACCTTATTAATGCTATTAATTATAATTCATATGAGAGCAGATGAAGTAATCTTACAGTCTAAAAATGGAAAAAGAAATGATAAATGAATGAATTAATTAATACAATATTATTCTTCTCTTCCTTCCTCCCTTCTTCCCTTCCTTCATTCCTGACTGAGTATAGGAAGAGAGAAGTAGATGTTCAGAAATTGCTTTTGCTGGTAAATTGCAATACTCTAATTTAATCCAAAACAGATCACTGCAAAGAGTTTTGGAGCCCCCTGTAGACTTGCATGCAAGCTGTGTGAAGGCAAACTAATTCAACAGCACTTTTGGAAATGGCTGTTTATTGTTCTGTTAACAGTAGCAAAACTACATATCAGTTCTTAATCCTCTGTGGAACAATCACAACTGTATGGCTTAAGTGTAAAAGTCTCAGAAGCTGTAGTCTGGCACAAGCTAAGTAACTGCAGGGTGGGGGGCCTTGTCTGGAAATCTTTATTACGTGAATGTCCTGCAAGCTGAAAAAAACCCCCTTAACTGCCTCTCTGCCATGATCTTTTGACCTGCCTTAGGATCAAGTTATGCCAAGAAAATATTTCCATCATTTGATGTTAGTTAATTAGAAGAAAATGAGTGGAAATAAATCCCAATGCATCTTACATGTAACTTGTGTTTGAAATATCTTTAAAAGTTTGGTAGAGTTATATGTGAAGAGAATAGCTTTGTATCTCCTCAGTAGAAGAGGGATATGGAGCTACTGAACAGTGTCCAGCAAAGGGTCACAAAGTTGATTAAGGGAATGAAGCATCTCTCCTATGAGGAAAGGCTGAGAGAGCTGGGACTAGAGTTCTGTTCAGCCTGGAGAAGAGAAGGCTGAGGGAGGGTCTTATTAAAGTTTAGAAATACGTGAAGGGAGGCTGCAAAGATGATGGGGCTAGGCTCCTCTCATTGATGCTCAGTGACAAGAAGCAATGGGCAGAAACTGAAACACAGGATGTTCCATCTGAACATCAGGAAACACTTTTTTACTGAGAGGGTGACCAAGCACTGGCACAGGTTGCCCAGAGAGGTGGTGGAGTCTCCCTTCTTGGAGATATTAAAAAGCCATCTGGACATGGTCCTGGACTCCAAGTAGCCCAGCTTGAGCAGGGAGGGTTGGACCTCTGGAAGTCACCTCCAACCTCAACCATTCTGTGATCCTGTGAGATACTGAAGAACAGAAAAAAGCTGTTTACTAAAGTAAATTCATATTTTGAAACAAAATCAGACATAACCTTTAAAAGTCAGTCTAGAGGAACCAAGGAACTCTTCACTGAAGCAAACAGAAACAAGATACTCTCACGATATTCTCCTCCTCTACTCCTCTCTCCTAAGACCTCATCTGGGTACTGCATCCAGCTCTGGGGGTCACAAGCACAAGAAAGATATGAACCTTTTAGAGCAAGACTAGAGGAGGGCCACAAAAATGGTCAGAAGGCTAGAACACTTCTCTGAAGAAAAGCTGAGAGAATTGGGGTTGTTTAGCCTGCAGAAGCGAAGGCTCTGGGGAGAACTTACTGCTGCCTTTCAATATATAAAGGGGGCTCATAAGAAAGATGGAGAGAAACTTCTTAGAAGGGCATGTAGTGACAGGACAAGGGGCCGTGGTTTTAAACAGTAAGAGGGTAGGTTTTGATCGGACATAAGGAAGAAATTGGTTACGATGAAGGTGGTGAAACACTGGTCCAGGTTGCCCAGAGACACTGTGGATGCCCCCTTCCCTGGAAGTGTTCAAGGTCAGGTTGAACAGGGCTTAGAATCATAGCATCGTTTAGGTTGGAAAAGACCTTCAAGATCATCAGGTCTAACCGTTAACCTAACACTGCCATCCCACCACTAAACCATGTCCCTAAGCACCTCATCTACCCATCTTTCAAATACCTCCAGGGCTGGGGACTCAACCACTTCCCTGGGCAGCCTGTTCCAATGATTGACAACCCTTTTGGTGAAGAATTTTTTCCTAATGTCCAATCTCAACCTCCCCAGGTGCAACTTGAAGCCATTTCACAGAATCACAGAATTGCAAGGGTTGGAAGGGACCTCGGGAGATCATCTAGTCCAACCCTCCTGCTAAAGCAGGTTCTCCTAGAGCATGTTACACAGGACTTCATCCAGG